CACTGTTAGCATTAATTTGTGTAGTTCCACTGTTAGCATTAAGCTGTGTAGTTCCACTGTTAGCATTAAGCTGTGTAGTTCCACTGTTAGCATTAAGCTGTGTAGTTCCACTGTTAGCATTAAAATGTGTAGTTCCACTGTTAGCATTAAGCTGTGTAGTTCTACTGTTAGCATTAAAATGTGTAGTTCCACTGTTAGCATTAAGCTGTGTAGTTCTACTGTTAGCATTAAAATGTGTAGTTCCACTGTTAGCATTAAGCTGTGTAGTTCTACTGTTAGCATTAAAATGTGTAGTTCCACTGTTAGCATTAAGCTGTGTAGTTCTACTGTTAGCATTAAAATGTGTAGTTCCACTGTTAGCATTAATTTGTGTAGTTCCACTGTTAGCATTAAGCTGTGTAGTTCCACTGTTAGCATTAAAATGTGTAGTTCCACTGTTAGCATTAAGCTGTGTAGTTCCACTGTTAGCATTAAACTGTGTAGTTCTACTGTTAGCATTAATTTGTGTAGTTCTACTGTTAGCATTAAACTGTGTAGTTCTACTGTTAGCATTAAGCTGTGTAGTTCTAAACATCCTTTGGAGGGCCCAGCGGTAAGTTCATAGTAGTGTTAGTGACAGAATGTGACATCAGCAGGTGAATGTTACCTGATGGAGGAAGGTCGGTGGGGCAGACGGTGGCGTCTCAACGTGAGGACGATAAGCGTCCCAAGCAGCAGAGCGGAGATGGACGCCAGAGTGACAAAGAGGAAAACACCTGAGGATGGATATCAGGCAACAGTTATTGACATACAGGTGTTAATACACAGGTGTTAATACACAGCTGTTATCACACAGGCGTTAATACACAGGTGTTATCGCACAGGTGTTATCGCACAGGTGTTATCACACAGGTGTTAATACACAGGTGTTAATACACAGCTGTTATCACACAGGCGTTAATACACAGGTGTTATCGCACAGGTGTTATCGCACAGGTGTTATCGCACAGGTGTTATCGCACAGGTGTTAATACACAGGTGTTAATACACAGGTGTTATCGCACAGGTGTTAATACACAGGCGTTAATACACAGGCGTTAATACACAGGTGTTAATACACAGGCGTTAATACACAGGTGTTAATACACAGGTGTTAATACACAGGTGTTAATACACAGGCGTTATCACACAGGCGTTATTACACAGGCGTTATCACACAGGCGTTATTACACAGGAGACTTGAGGTTATCTGAGGATCACAAACTCACCTGCAGTCCAGCGGTTACGAGGTTTCTCATGACCTTCAAACTCACCTGAGGGAGAAGAAGAGGTTACTCACACACACACACCTGTATGAATAATATAGGTTAATATAGGAGAGTTACCGTCCCCGCTGCACTGGCTCATACACTCCTCAAGACTGTCATAGCGGTTCTGGTTTCCACGACAACCACCATAGATGAACGTCTGACATGTGGATGTGTCTGGGTCGTAGTAGAACTTGGGGAAGGCGGCGCGGCAGGAACCAGGATCAGGAGACACCATACACTGTTCTACAGAGGGAGACAGACACCACCTGCTGGACCTTACAGGTACTACAACCAGAACATAATACTGAAACATCACAGGTGTGCAGGTCTTACCTGTCCTCTTAGAGGGTCCAGACTGTGAAGCTGCAGGGTCAACCACACCTTCAGACAGACAAGAGAGAGACAGACAGACGGACAGACAGACAGGAGAGAGACAGACAGACAGGAGAGGGACAGACAGACAGGAGAGAGACAGACAAGAGAGGGACAGACAGACAGACAGGAGAGAGACAGACAGACAGGAGAGGGACAGACAGGAGAGAGACAGACAGACAGGTTAATCTGAAGTTCTTCAAACATTGGTTCATATTAGAACTGCAGTACTGAGTCGTACTGTGTGTGAGCGTGTGTGCGTGAGTGTGTGTGTGTAAATAGAGTGAACTTTTACCTTTTGCAGGAAGCAGGTGAGCAGCTTTAACAGGAAGTGGAGGAGCAGGAGTCGACTCATCAGGAAGTACAGGACCTAAACACACACGCTTCTGTTAACAGGTCATCTGTGTGTGTGTGTGTGTGTGTGTGTGTGTGTGTGTGTGTGTGTGTGTGTGTGTGTGTGTGTGTGTGTGTGTGTGTGTGTGTGTGTGTGTGTGTGTGTGTGTGTGTGTGTTACCTGTCACTCCCCTGCACCTGTCCTCACACTCCTGCTTGGAATCAAAGTTGTTGGCGTTAGCGTCACAGCCGCCAAAGATGAAGCCTCGACAGCTCTGAACGGTCGAGTCATAGAAGAACTTTGGGAAGGCAGCGCGACAATGACCGACCTTCATCGGGAGACGACAATGAACTGAGGAGACAGGAGAGAGAGAGAGAGAGACAGGAGAGAGAGAGAGACAGAGAGAGAGAGAGACAGAGAGAAAGAGAGAGGAGAAAGAGAGAGGAGAAAGAGAGAGAGAGAGAGACAGCAGAGGCGTGTGATTGGTCGATTATCAGGAGAACAACAGTCTGTTATGAGAGGGTTATTGTGTGTCAGACTAAACCAGACCGACTGGTCACAGGTGTGTGTGAAGGGGAATCGTGTGGCTGGGTCAGGTGAGAGACTGAACAACAGGTGAGACTGAACAGGTGAGAGACTGAACAACAGGTGAGACTGAACAGGTGAGAGACTGAACAACAGGTGAGACTGAACAACAGGTGAGACTGAACAGGTGAGAGACTGAACAGGGGAGAGACTGAACAACAGGTGAGACTGAACAACAGGTGAGAGACTGAACAACAGGTGAGAGACTGAACAACAGGTGAGAGACTGAACAGGGGAGAGACTGAACAACAGGTGAGACTGAACAGGGGAGAGACTGAACAACAGGTGAGAGACTGAACAACAGGTGAGACTGAACAGGTGAGAGACTGAACAACAGGTGAGACTGAACAGGTGAGAGACTGAACAACAGGTGAGAGACTGAACAACAGGTGTGAGACTGAACAAGTGTGAGACTGAACAAGTGTGAGACTGAACAGGTGAGAGACTGAACAACAGGTGAGACACTGAACAACAGGTGAGACTGAACAACAGGTGAGAGACTGAACAGGTGAGAGACTGAACAGGGGAGAGACTGAACAGGGGAGAGACTGAACAGGGGAGAGACTGAACAACAGGTGAGACACTGAACAACAGGTGAGAGACTGAACAACAGGTGAGACTGAACAACAGGTGAGACTGAACAACAGGTGAGACTGAACAACAGGTGAGAGACTGAACAGGGGAGAGACTGAACAGGGGAGAGACTGAACAACAGGTGAGACTGAACAGGTTAGACACTGAACAGGGGAGAGACTGAACAGGGGAGAGACTGAACAACAGGTGAGACTGAACAGGGGAGAAACTGAACAACAGGTGAGACTGAACAGGTGAGAGACTGAACAGGGGAGAGACTGAACAACAGGTGAGACTGAACAACAGGTGAGACTGAACAGGGGAGAGACTGAACAGGTGAGAGACTGAACAACAGGTGAGACTGAACAGGGGAGAGACTGAACAGGTGAGAGACTGAACAACAGGTGAGAATGAACAGGGGAGAGACTGAACAACAGGTGAGACTGAACAGGGGAGAGACTGAACATGGGAGAGACTGAACAACAGGTGAGACTGAACAACAGGTGAGACTGAACAGGTGAGACTGAACAGGTGAGAGACTGAACAACAGGTGAGACTGAACAACAGGTGAGACTGAACAACAGGTGAGACTGAACAACAGGTGAGACTGAACAACAGGTGAGACTGAACAACAGGTGAGACTGAACAGGTGAGAGACTGAACAACAGGTGAGACTGAACAACAGGTGAGACTGAACAACAGGTGAGACTGAACAGGTGAGAGACTGAACAACAGGTGAGACTGAACAGGGGAGAAACTGAACAACAGGTGAGACTGAACAGGGGAGAGACTGAACAACAGGTGAGACTGAACAGGGGAGAGACTGAACAACAGGTGACACTGAACAGGGGAGAAACTGAACAACAGGTGAGACTGAACAACAAGTGAGACTGAACAGGTGAGAGACTGAACAACAGGTGAGAAACTGAACAACAGGTGAGACTGAACAGGTGAGAGACTGAACAACAGGTGAGAAACTGAACAACAGGTGAGACTGAACAGGGGAGAGACTGAACAACAGGTGAGACTGAACAACAGGTGAGACTGAACAACAGGTGAGACTGAACAGGGGAGAAACTGAACAACAGGTGAGACTGAACAGGGGAGAAACTGAACAGGTGAGAGACTGAACAACAGGTGAGAATGAACAGGGGAGAGACTGAACAACAGGTGAGACTGAACAGGGGAGAGACTGAACATGGGAGAGACTGAACAACAGGTGAGAATGAACAGGGGAGAGACTGAACAACAGGTGAGACTGAACAACAGGGGAGAGACTGAACAACAGGTGAGACTGAACAGGGGAGAGACTGAACAACAGGTGAGACTGAACAGGGGAGAGACTGAACAACAGGTGAGGCTGAACAGGGGAGAGACTGAACAACAGGTGAGGCTGAACAGGGGAGAGACTGAACAGGGGAGAGACTGAACAACGGAGAGACTGAACAGGTGAGAGACTGAACAACAGGTGAGACTGAACAACAGGTGAGACTGAACAACAGGTGAGACTGAACAACGGAGAGACTGAACAGGGGAGAGACTGAACAGGTGAGAGACTAAACAGGTGAGAGACTGAACAACAGGTGAGACTGAACAGGTGAGAGACTGAACAGGGGAGAGACTGAACAACAGGTGAGACTGAACAGGGGAGAGACTGAACAACAGGTGAGACTGAACAGGTGAGAGACTGAACAACAGGTGAGACTGAACAGGGGAGAGACTGAACAACAGGTGAGACTGACAGGTGAGAGACTGAACAACAGGTGAGACTGAACAGGTGAGAGACTGAACAGGGGAGAGACTGAACAACGGAGAGACTGAACAACAGGTGAGACTGAACAACAGGTGAGACTGAACAGGGGAGAGACTGAACAACAGGTGAGACTGAACAGGTGAGAGACTGAACAGGGGAGAGACTGAACAACAGGTGAGACTGAACAGGGGAGAGACTGAACAACAGGTGAGACTGAACAGGTGAGAGACTGAACAGGGGAGAGACTGAACAGGTGAGACTGAACAACAGGTGAGACTGAACAACAGGTGAGACTGAACAACAGGTGAGACTGAACAGGGGAGAGACTGAACAGGTGAGAGACTAAACAGGTGAGAGACTGAACAACAGGTGAGAATGAACAGGGGAGAGACTGAACAACAGGTGAGACTGAACAACAGGGGAGAGACTGAACAACAGGTGAGACTGAACAGGGGAGAGACTGAACAACAGGTGAGACTGAACAGGGGAGAGACTGAACAACAGGTGAGGCTGAACAGGGGAGAGACTGAACAACGGAGAGACTGAACAACAGGTGAGACTGAACAACAGGTGAGACTGAACAACAGGTGAGACTGAACAGGGGAGAGACTGAACAACAGGTGAGACTGAACAGGTGAGAGACTGAACAGGGGAGAGACTGAACAACAGGTGAGACTGAACAGGGGAGAGACTGAACAACAGGTGAGACTGAACAGGTGAGAGACTGAACAGGGGAGAGACTGAACAGGTGAGACTGAACAACAGGTGAGACTGAACAACAGGTGAGACTGAACAACAGGTGAGACTGAACAGGTGAGAGACTGAACAGGGGAGAGACTGAACAGGTGAGACTGAACAACAGGTGAGACTGAACAGGGGAGAGACTGAACAGGGGAGAGACTGAACAGGGGAGAGACTGAACAGGGGAGAGACTGAACAACAGGTGAGAGACTGAACAGGTGAGAGACTGAACAACAGGGGAGAGACTGAACAGGTGAGAGACTGAACAACAGGGGAGAGACTGAACAGGTGAGAGACTGAACAACAGGGGAGAGACTGAACAGGTGAGAGACTGAACAACAGGTGAGAGACTGAATAGGTGAGAGACTGAACAACAGGGGAGAGACTGAACAGGTGAGAGACTTTACAACAGGTGAGACTGAACAGGGGAGAGACTGAACAACAGGTGAGACTGAACAGGTGAGAAACTGAACAACAGGTGAGACTGAACAGGGGAGAGACTGAACAACAGGTGAGACTGAACAGGGGAGAGACTGAACAACAGGGGAGAGACTGAACAACAGGTGAGACTGAACAGGGGAGAGACTGAACAACAGGTGAGAGACTGAACAACAGGTGAGAATGAACAGGGGAGAGACTGAACAACAGGTGAGACTGAACAGGGGAGAGACTGAACAACAGGTGAGACTGAACAGGGGAGAGACTGAACAACAGGTGAGACTGGACAGGTGAGAGACTGAACAACAGGTGAGACTGAACAGGGGAGAGACTGAACAACAGGTGAGACTGAACAGGTGAGAGACTGAACAGGGGAGAGACTGAACAACAGGTGAGACTGAACAGGGGAGAGACTGAACAACAGGTGAGACTGAACAGGTGAGAGACTGAACAGGGGAGAGACTGAACAGGTGAGACTGAACAACAGGTGAGACTGAACAACAGGTGAGACTGAACAACAGGTGAGACTGAACAGGTGAGAGACTGAACAGGGAGAGACTGAACAGGTGAGACTGAACAACAGGTGAGACTGAACAGGGGAGAGACTGAACAGGGGAGAGACTGAACAGGGAGAGACTGAACAGGGGAGAGACTGAACAACAGGTGAGAGACTGAACAGGTGAGAGACTGAACAACAGGGGAGAGACTGAACAGGTGAGAGACTGAACAACAGGGGAGAGACTGAACAGGTGAGAGACTGAACAACAGGGAGAGACTGAACAGGTGAGAGACTGAACAACAGGTGAGAGACTGAATAGGTGAGAGACTGAACAACAGGGGAGAGACTGAACAGGTGAGAGACTTTACAACAGGTGAGACTGAACAGGGGAGAGACTGAACAACAGGTGAGACTGAACAGGTGAGAAACTGAACAACAGGTGAGACTGAACAGGGGAGAGACTGAACAACAGGTGAGACTGAACAGGGGAGAGACTGAACAACAGGGAGAGACTGAACAACAGGTGAGACTGAACAGGGGAGAGACTGAACAACAGGTGAGAGACTGAACAACAGGTGAGAATGAACAGGGGAGAGACTGAACAACAGGTGAGACTGAACAGGGGAGAGACTGAACAACAGGTGAGACTGAACAGGGGAGAGACTGAACAACAGGTGAGACTGGACAGGTGAGAGACTGAACAACAGGTGAGACTGAACAGGTGAGAGACTGAACAGGGGAGAGACTGAACAACGGAGAGACTGAACAACAGGTGAGACTGAACAACAGGTGAGACTGAACAACAGGTGAGACTGAACAACAGGTGAGACTGAACAGGGG